TGATGATGCTGAGGATGATGAGGATGATGAGGATGATGAGGATGACCATGCTTTTCGACGATTTTCAACGTTGCCCCGAGGGTCCCCTCGTGGCAGCGGTGCGCTCGCGCAGTAGGCGCGGGCACAGTGCGGGCCCTCGTAGGCCGTGGCGGGTCGGCGCTCGGCGCCACCTCGCCGCTCGACCTCTCCTCGTCGGCTGGGCGGACCCGCCGCGACCGACGCTGGCCCGCCGCTCGGCGAGCCATCTCCGCGTCCGCCCGGCGAGCCCCCGTCTAGCCTCCTCTCCACACGGCAGCCCTGCCTGGCACGGCCGCCCTCGCCTTGGGCCTAGCGCGCCCTCCGCGCTGATGCCGCCCACCCTCCTCAGGGCAGGCGTCCTCGCTTCTCGCCGCCTCCGCCTTGGCGGCCCTCGCTCTCCGTCCGAGGGCCACCAGGCCGTCCTCGTCGGTACCGTGGGCCTTGGCGGCGTCGGCCAGCGGCTTGAAGCGCACAGCTCCTCCGTGCGCCTCTTTGCCGTCGCAAGGGGCCGTCACCTGCCTCGGCGCCTCCAGCTCCTCCTCAGCGGCCGGCTGCTGCTCGCCCACCACCTCTGCCAGCTCCTGCCTGAGGCCGCTCGCGATCCCTTCCAGGGAGTCGCACTTACTGCTTCTCCTGCAGGGCACGGGGTGCAGGCCTTTTCTCTGCCTCCTCAGATGCTCCTTGCAGCCCTTAGCCTTTTCTCTGCACTCCTGGAACAGCAGCTCCTTGCGCCGCTGCTTGACCTGTGTGCGCCCCTGCACGCCGTTGGCCGCGCGCCTTCGGCAGGTCAGGCCCCTCTCCCCTGTCTCGCAGCGGTGCTCTCTGAGGTGGTGCCCCTCCCAGACAATGATGGGCTCGAGCTCGGCCTGCTTGCTCTCCACCTCCGTTGCCGCCTCCGCTTTAGCCACCTTCTCTAGCTGCTGCTTCTCGGCCTTGCCCGCGTCGACTGCCGCCTGGAGGTCGGGCGGCATCTCCTCCAGCTCTATCCACAGCTCCTTCGGGGTGCCCTCCACGTCCTCGACTTGGTCCTGCCACAAGACCTGCGACTGGGCGATCCAGCGCGCCGTCTGCTTGGCCAGGAAGTGCGCACCCTCCGTTCCCCGGGCCAGCGGCCCCAGAGGCTGGCCCCTTCCTTGGCGAGGAGGTCCGCCTGCTCGTTGCCCTCGCGCGCCCACCTCTCTGTCTCCGTGACGCAGTCTGCCTTCGACTTGTGCGCCTTGACCTTGTTGACCTCCACCTCTTCTCTTCCGCCCAGCTCGGGCCGCCGCCGCTTCCAGAGGTGCCCCCTCGCTGCTCTTTTGGCCAGGGCTTCCCGATGTCAGTCGCCATCCTGATGAGCCAATGCAGTCGCTGAAGACTTCGAGGCCGCTGTGCGCGCAGCCCTGCACGAAGTGGAACACGTGGTCCTCGCCGTCCCTCGCCAGCTGCATGGGCGCCCACGCCAGTGGGGCTGTGCCGCGCGCCGCTCCTGTGACCTGCCCCCCCCCGCTGTGCTGTACTATGGTCCATCCAGCCCTCCTCAGGATCTCGTCCGTCGGGTCGGTGGCTGACGCGTCTACGAACACCGTGCCTCGGAAGACCCCCTCGGGCGGGCGCGCCACCCACCTGACCTCGTCCTTCTCTGGCCTCTCGTGGGGCATCATCCAGGCCTGCGTGACCTTAGAGAAGAGGCCTCTGGCGAACCTTTCTCCTGCCTCCTCTGTCTCCGTGCTCAAGGGACCTCGCTGCAAGCTTTACCTCCTTGGGGCGCGCGTCGCGCCTGTAGTGCTCCGCCGCGTTGCAGGCGAAGTGCCTGTGCCGCAGCGTGCCTCTCCCTTCCGTGCATCGCCTGCAGGTCTTGCTGGTCGCCAGCTTGCGATCGAACGACCCAGCCTGGGGCCAGGCTGATTCTCCTGCCGCCGTCCTCGCGTCCCCCTGGTGCTTGGTGCCTCAGGCCTCGGACTCCTCCTCAGCCATGAGCTCCTCCATGTGCCGCCGTGCGCGGGCCCGCCCCGCGCCGAGCGGGGGCCTTGGCGTCCTCCATCCACCTGGCCACCCTGCCGACAACTTCGCTGACAGGGGCAGGCCCCAGCCAACTCATGTCCAGCACCTCGCCCGTCGGCGCCGCCAGCTCGAACGCCGACAGCATCGCCGCGCCTGCCCGCGCCATCGCCAGGGCTGATCGCGCCTGCCCTCGGTAGCTGGCGGTATACCAGCCTCCTCGCGTGCTTCCAGCAGTGCTCCAGTCGTCTCTGGCAGGGCTCTGGTGGGCTCTATGACGCACATCGCCCACGCTCTTGCCGCTTCCTCTGCGACGAGGCCCGCTGGGTCCCTCCTGCTGCCCTCGAGTGAGGCTCGCGCCGTGAGGTGCGCCACAGCTCCTCTTGGCCGCCTGCCTTCTGCGTTCGCCGCCTGGGTGCGCAGCTGGTGCAACTTCTGGTCGGCCACCCCTGTCACCGCTGAGCTCCACAGCACTGTCGCCGTCGGGCTGCTCCTCTGCAGCCTCCCGCTTGCCTCATACACAGACTTACTCATACTCATACTTACTCATACCCAGACTTACTCATACACAGACTTACTCATACTCAGACTTACTCATACTCAGACCTACTCATACTCAGACTTACTCACACCCAGACGTACACATACACAGACTTACTCATACACAGACTTACTCATACTCAGACTTACTCATACCCAGACGTACTCATATACAGACTTACTCAGACTCAGACCTACACACACTCAGACCTTCTCATAGTCTGAGTTTCTCGACACACGGCAGATTTTGAGGATGTCTCAGTTGGGGCGCTGGCTTCAGCAGCCCCAAGGGGAGCCGCCAGGAGTGTTCTCACGGGCCCGTTCGCGGCCAGTTTGTGGGGATGTCTCAGGCGTTCTTTTCGTTTTCATGCCCAACATCCTTTGCTTTCGGAGCAGCTTGTGAGGATGTCTCAGGCGGGGCGCTGGTTTCAGCACCCCCAAGGGGAGCCGCCAGGGGTGTTCTCACGGGCCCGTTCGCGGCCAGTTTGTGGGGATGTCTCAGGCGTTTTTTTCGTTTTCATGCCCAACATCCTTTGCTTTCGGAGCAGCTTGTGAGGATGTCTCAGGCGCGGCGCTGGTTTCAGCACCCCAAAGGGGAGCCGCCAGGGGGTAGGACGCTCATGAACAGACGCTCACTATGGCATGACACAAAACATGAGATGCACATAGGAGGAGCTCCACGCAGTGAGTATTCGTTTTTCATCCAAAATCGGCCCGTAGGGGGACAGGCCCGAGTCAAATCTACTGGCACGGGCTCGCTGGAGGACAACTCCGTGGTCGGCGGCGAGGGCGCGCGCGCAGCGCGCTCGAGGAGCCGGCCCGCCGGGCCGCGCCAGGGCCACGGGCGCGCGGACGCCGAGGGGAAGGAAGGAGGGCGGCTGCGGAGGGCGGCCACGCTCAGGAGGGGGGAGGGGGAGGGAGGGGGGAGGGCCTCTCAGAAGCACCCTTGCTTCTTCTCGGAGGGCGCGGGGTTTGGCTGTTGGCGCGGGGAATGAAGGGGGCGGCTGCGGAGGTCGGCCACGCGCAGGAGGGGGGGTGGGGGAGGGGTGAGGGCCTCTCAGAAGCCCCCCTGCTTCTTGGAGGGCGCGGGCCTTGGCTGTAGGCACAAGGCCGGCGCCTCTTCCATGAAGCCGCCTCCTTCTAAGCAGCCCTCCCCCCTCCTCCCCCCCCCGTGTATGGTGGTATGGGTATGGTCGGGCGGAGCATTTACACCTTGGCGCCCGTACTGCTAGATACCGCGTGTTTCTGCCAGCAGCTAGTGACTGCCGCACTAAGCTGACCGTCTCCTCGGCGAATCAGAGCGCAATCAAAAAGAAATCCCCCCCTGTGCGCACCGCCAAGAGGGGGCCTCGGGCGTCGAGAGTCGTCGCCGCGAGGGGTGCGCGGGGGCGGCCGCAGGCACCCAGGGGGAAAAGACCCGGTGGAGCACACAGAAAAGCACGGGCCTCTCCCGCCGCTCCTAGCGGCCAGGCACGCCCCTCGTGCGTCCTCTCGGCCTCCCTGCCGCCTCTCTTCCGCCGCCTGCGGCGTGCTCCGCGCCCTTCGCCTCGTGCCCTCGGCCTCCTGCCTTTTCCCTCCTCCCCCCCTGTTTCCTCCTCTCTTCCTGCTCCCTGCCTACCTCGCCCTCCTGCCTCCCTCCTCCGTGTTCTCTTGGCCCTCTTCCTCCTCCCTGCTCGCTCGTCTGCCCCTCTGGCCCTCCCTCCTTCCTCTTCTCTTCTCCCTCTTCCCTCCTCCCTCTTCCCTCCCCCCTCTTCCCTCCTCCCTTCTCCTTCCTCGTCGCTTCCTCTCTCCTCCTCCCGCGCCCCTCGTCTCTGGTCCCTCATCCGCGTATGCTCCTCATGCGGTTAGTTGGTGAGCCCTTCCTAGCCAGGACGTCTTGATATTCCGGCTGGCCGTCCAGGCAAAACAGTTCTTGCGATGGCGGAGGTTGTCGGCACCGTCATGAAGGCCGCCTCCAGAGCTTGCCTTGTTTGCATTCGGATGGTGCTCCCGAGTTGGTATTCTGGAGGCCTCACGGCTCCCGGCCCGTTCCGCCAGTGTTGATGAAACAGAGCAGCACGAGCGCGGGAGGCAGAGCAGGGGCAGGGGAGACGGGAACCCAGGGGAAACAGCCAGAGCTCCGGGGGGGGACGGCGGTCTTAGTGACTCGTTGCCTGGCACACCAAAAAAGAACGGACTGAAGTGGCGCTGGACTCGGATCGGCCTGAGAGGTCTGCGTGCGTTTGGGAATCGGATCTGGCTTCTCAATGACCGAGAGAGCTGCCGACTCGAGCATAACTAAGGGAACGAAAGGTGGCATAAACATAAAGACTCGGAGGTCCGCGCGGATTCCTCGGATCGGCGCTCGGGCACCCCGGCGGCGCTTCCAGTGCCGCCCCTGGCGCGCTCCGCGCGCCAGGGAGGGGGGTCGAGCGCCATTCCGAGAAATCCGCGCGGTCCTCCGAGTTTCTATGTTTAGTCACTTCCTGTTCCCCCAGCAAGACCCCGCAGGCGTCGGGAGCCTTGAGACGGGGTCGATGCAAAGGGGGGTCAGCCAGAGCACCCGATGTTGCATGATCCTGCAGGGCCAGGGTCGCACTGACCCGGGCTCGGGCACAGGATCCTGCAGGATCCTGCAGGGTCCTTCGCATGGGCCCGGGTTTGGGTGCAGGATTTTGCAGGATCTTGCAGAGTTCTGCAAGGCCTGACTGACCCGGGTCTGGATTGACCCGGGTCAGAAGATCCCTGAAGGCAGTGAGGGGATGAACGGGGAGGGGCTTGCCTCCTGATCTGATCGTGGCGTTGCTCCTCTTTGCTCCTGCAGGCATGGCCGAGGAGGGCTCGAGGTGGCCACGGGGACTGGGGGAGCGAGCCTCTGAAAGAGAAGGCCCCCTGGCACGCGCCGACAGGGGCATCATATGGTCAATGATGTACAATGCTCCGCTCGACTCGTGCTTTGAAGATTGCGTGCTTCAGCCACTTCTGCCGGTCGCGTTACATCACAGCGTCGGCGCTGGATGCTTTGGCGCAAATGTGAGTTGCGGGTGCGGGGGGTCAAGACCATGTGGGAGAGAACGCACGGAAGTAGGCCATGGCATTTCCATACTCGGACATTTTTTTTGCGACACCTGCGGGTGCCAATCGATGGTTTTCCCGAGGGGAGGAAACGAGACGGCGATTCTATATAATGCTGGGTTTGCAGATGGGAAGAAGCAACAGTTGGTGAGGAGGAAGCCAGAGGACGGAAATTGCGGGGGGAGCGGGGGCGGGGTCAGGGGAGGACGTGCGCAAGCTCCAAATGGGTGGAGAGAGGAGGGCAAAAAGAAGAAGCGCGACAAGGATCCCGTACCTCCGACGTCGTGATTTCTTCCCGACCAGTGCTTGCATTCAGCCCGAAGTGATTGGGCGGGGATCTCGCCTGTCGGCCGCGTTCGTCGGCGCCTCGTGGACACGCGCGTCTTACCTACAGACTGCTATCCTTAAGTCCGGCTCGTCCCTCGACAGGAGGAATATTGTAAAATAGTCAAAACATAGCCTGAGGACGATTCCAAAACTTCTTTTGAGTTTTTATGTGATTTTTGTTTGTTGTTTTTGTTGTTGTTTTTTGTTGTTTTGGTTTTGTTTTGTTTCCTCGTTGTGTTTTTGTTATTGTTGTTGTTTTTTTGTTTTCGTCTTGTTTTGTTTCTTCGTCAAAAATCCGCCAGTAGGGGGACGCGCCCGACTTACTGCCATCCCCCCGTGCCTCCGAGCCCGCGCGCTGCGCCCCAAGACGGCTATGCACATCCCCTGGGAGGGCGCGCGCCCGACAGAGGCTCGAGCGCACGGCACGAGCGCGAGGGGCCGGCGTCGCAGAAGCCGAGCGCGTCGCGCGTCGAGTCGTGGACCCGCGCGTTGGCTGGCATTCTTTGGTTTTCGCCCAGTGGCCGCCCTCGGGGCGTTCCGCATCGAGACGAATATCGTGCCGGAGCCTTCCAGAGCGCCCCCGCTTTGTTCCAGCGCGCCCATTTCCTCGGCGTCACCCCAACATGCTCATGCCACATGTGCGTCGCGCCCCCCCCAGGGGCGACGCGCGCACCGAGGAGGCCTATAGTACATGCGTCGTGGCGGGCGCAAAACTGGCCACACCGCTCGGGACAGGACGTACTACAAGATGGGTATACTATATGATATGTTCGGGTCGGACGCGCGCCTCCAAGGAGACCATATAGCATTAGTATGTTCCTGTGCGTCCCATTCCCGGGTTTTCGCGCCCAGTGGCCGCCCTCGGGGCGTTCCGCATCGAGACGAATATCGAGACGGCGCCTTCCAGAGCGCCCCCGGGGCGTTCCAGCGCGCCCATTTCCTCGGCGTCACCCCAACGGCCGCGGCGCCGGACCCATCCCCCACGAGCCCGCCGAGTCCCAGGGAGTCTCGACTTCATCAGCCCCGATCCTGTCTCGATGCTGCCTGCGGCTGGCGCCTCGTGGCAGCCGCCGTGCCCACGGGCCTGCCGCCGTGCCTCGGGGCGGGCGCCGGCCCCTCCCTCCTCGATTCGGGAGGAGGAGGAGGAGGAGGAGGCGGAGGAGGAGGAGGGGGAGGAGGAGGAGGAGGAGGAGGAGGAGGAGGAGGAGGAGGAGGAGGTGGACAGTGCCCCCCCCCTCGTGCCCCTCTGCAGCGGGGGGCCTTCGCCGCGGCCCGCGTGGGCCAAATCGGGGCTGTCCCTGTGCAGGAAGGGCATTCAGACATAGTTTATTATAGTCTGGGAGCAAGCGATGTTTTTTGTTTAAAAATATGATTATTATAATTATGTTATTTTATTGTTGTTTTGTTTTTTTTTTGTGTGTTGTGCGTATGCTTGAGCATTCATTTCATTTGTTGTTGTATGTGTGTGTGTGAATGTGTTTTTTGTTTGTTATATATATATATATTCAGGTAACGCACCCTGGCGCCAGCCAGAATCGCGCAGCTCTTACTACAAGGACGACCGCAGCCACACCGACACCAGCCGGACACACCACCTTCCGCGTTGGATGGCAGCGCCTCCCAAACGAGACAGCAGTAACACACCTGAAGAGGTTGCAAACATAAGGGGGATACCACTTTAACGTAGCCTGGCATTCGTGGTGCAGGCACACGTACAACCAGCAGTGCAAGGGCAAATCCAAAGACCAGGCGCCCTTCGACCCACGCCGCTGGCAGCAGTGGATCATCGACAAACTCCTGGATGACATGAGCGCCAACAACTACCACATGGACCGATGGTCCAGCAGCGCAGGTGTCTACGTGGACTGGGAGCGGGAGCAGAAGCTCTATCAGGAGGTGCAGAGGAAAAGGGAGGTTGCTAAGGGTGACGGGCGCGACGGGGACCAGGCCCGCAGTTCCGGGTACCACGACACCTGGACTGGAAAGCGCCCGCGGCGCTGATTGTCGTCGTCCCTACCACACCTGCCCCACAGCACCACTGCATAACTTGCCAGCCACTCCCACTACCTGCGCCCCCGTCCCCGATCCACACCCCCACCTGACACCCGGCTGGGGACCGCGTGTCCCTCTCCCCCCCTTTACCTGCACCCCATGGCCCTTGTGGCGCCCGCGTTCCACGTGCTGGCTACCCACCCTTCCACCTGGACCCCGTCCTCTCCTCCTTCTCCCCTCCTTCTCTCCCGTTTCCTAAGGATCTGGGACTCTGTGCGTCCTACCTGTACCCATCGGCTGATTGAGATTCAAGGACCTGGGACTCTGTATCCCCCCTGTACCCATCGGCTGTTTTCAAGGGATCTGGGAATCTGTGTCCTACCTGTACCCATCGGCTGATCGTGATTCGAGGATCTGGGACTCTGTGTCCCCCTTTTGCACCGCGGCTGAACGAGATTCAAGGATCTGGGACTCTGTGTCCCCCTTGTACCCACCTGCGGCGCATTGGTGCGCCAGCGACGTGCGTGCCACGCCCGCGCTGGGGCCTCGGGTCTTACCTTACCTGTACGCATTGGGGCCTGTCCCCACGTGAGCACCTCGGTGCATGCTGGCGGGACTCCGGCTGGCGTGGGATGCTGGCCTCTCTTCTCCCTGTTCGCTTCTTCCCTCCCCGCTCGCTTTCCCCCCCTCCCACGGCGGCGGCGCCCGGCACAGCGCGGCTCTGGCCCGGTGCTGGCACTGCACCTTGCCGCCTCGGCGGCCCCGCTCACCCTGGGCAGTGCGGCTCAGGCCCAACCCGCGGCAGGCGGACACAGACGGCCCTTCAGGCCGAACCTCTTGGCTGCTACCTGGGCGTGGATTGGACTACCACCCCAGGCCGCTACCGACCACCCGTTGGCACAACGTTGCGCATCGCCTGCTTGGTCCCCCTCAGAACCTGGGCCTCTCCTGGCCAGTTGGTGGCACCTGGTGCACTTTGCCTACCTGGTCTTCCTCTACCTCACGGGCGTCGACCTGGTCACGGCCCCCCCCACGCAGCACTCGTGGATGGTGATTCTGACGCGCCGTTGACGGCAACACCACTTCGCTCTCCCTCCGGGACTTCGCCTCCAGCTCCTGTCCACGGCGTACCTTTTCCTGTGCGAGCTCTTCGGCGCCGCCTGCACCCCGCGCCCTCCGGCCGCCCGAGGCCCCGCCCGCCCGCGCCCTGTCTCCCCAATTCGTGCTCTGCGCGCCCCGCCGAGCTCTTAGCCGGAAGAGGCCCGCATATATAATTTTTCGTCCAAAGTCGGCCTGCAGGGGGACATGCCCGACCCAGCGAGTAGGGCGGGGTGCCACCCGCCCTCGGAGGGGACGGGCTAAGGGACAGGGAGAGGGGGACGAGGAGGGGGATGGGGAGGAGGAGGAAAAAGAAGAGACGAGGAGGTCTCGTCGTCTTTAACCTTCTCGCCATCCTGGCTGGCGCTCCGCATTTGTTTTCAGATGCCACTTCCTCATGCGCGTGTTCAGTTTGCATCTTTACTAGACATCCGTGTCCCCTGTTGCCAGACAGACGCTGGGGCAGCGACGTGGCCATAACACGCGTTTCCTGCATGGCGCGTCGCACAAACGCGATCTGCGAGTGCTGTGCGTGAGTGCGTGCGCGCGTGTGTGTGTGTGTGTGTGTGTGTGTGTGTGTGTGAGATAGTGTGTGTGTGAGAGAGAGAGAGAGTGTGTGTTGTGTGTGGTGTGTGTGTGTGTGTGTGTGTGTGTGTGTGTGCAGTGTGTGTGTATGCGTGTTCGTGTGCGTGTGCGTGTGCGTGTGCGTGTGCGTGTGCGTGTATGTGTGTGTGTGTATCTGTGTGTGTTTGTGTTAGTGTTTGTGTTAGTGTTTGTGTTTGTGCTTGCGCTTGTGCTTGCGCTTGTGCTTGTGCTTGTGTTTGTGCTTGTGTTTGTGCTTGTGTTTGTGTTTGTGTTTGTGCTGGTGTTTGTGTTTGTGTGTGTGTGTGTGTGTGCGTGTTTGCGTGCGTGCGTGCGTGCGTGCGTGCGAGCGTGTGTGTTTTTGTGTGTGTGTGTGATCGTGTTTGTCTAGCGTATGCAGTGTGGTGCTTTTTGTGTCCAGGTGTCTGGACCGCTGGTGGTGGCCGAGGGCATGTCCGGCACCAAGATGTACGAGGCCTGCCGCGGAATTGCCTCGCCCCCAAAGTCTCTTTTGTCATGGGGTCTTTGATTGAGGCAAAAAGACTTGTGAGGCTATTCCTTATCCTCGTCAGGTGAGGGCTGCGCTTTCGAGCGTGGTTGTTGTAGACGTGGACCAGGATGGGGAAGGGAGGGGTGAATAGGACAAGGAGGAAGAGGATGAGGCGGGTCCCCTACTTATGCACATTGAACTCGTGTACCCGTGCGAAGTGCAAGCTGAGTCTTCGCTTGACTTTCACAGTCTGGGTCTCACATGCATGAGGGCGCTTGCTGTCAGTCTTAGTGGTAAAACGTAATTGCTTGTGTGCCGACTCCAGTGCTGGAGGCAACGGATTTTGTAGCTAGTCGGGAGTCCTTTCTTCTCTAAGCTAGTGGTCAGTGCCTCGCCGCTGTCAATGTGCAAGCATGTTGCAGCGCCATCGTTGGTAAAGCAGAGAGGATCGGGTCAACCGGATGCTTTCAGTGAGTCGCGTTCAAATCACACGGCCCCAGCGTATGATCGGGGCAGATGCCCACACGGGCACAGAAGGGGGCACTGGAGGCCGAGGACGTCGTTGTCTGGCCGAATCTCGCCTTCTCCTTGCCTTCTCCCCCCTCCATTCGCCTCCTCCTCCTCCTCCTCCTCCTCCTCCTCCTCCTCCTCCTCCTCCTCCTCCCCACCTAGACCCCCCATCCTGCCACTTCCCCCTCTCCTTTCGTGGCTGCGCTCCAGGGCCTCTCGCTTGCCGTTGGTGGACTTCGCAGCAGCCCCCGCTGGTCGTCAGGGCCCCTCGTCCCTTGGGCGCGGGGCTGGTGCGGGAGAGAAGCGCACGCCTGCTCGACGCTTCCGGCTGCCACCAAAGAGAACCCCACACATCCCTCGCCTCATCTTCCTCCCTGCCCCCGTCGTCCGCCCTGCTTCCCGAGGCCGGCGGCGCGCCAAATGCGGGCGGTGGCGGGGGCGGCCTCCCAATTGGAGGGCCGCCCGCCCCCGAGAAGCTGCGGGCGGCACGGTGCTCGGGGAGGCCGGCGTCCTTCCAAGCAGCCCCCTGCCCTCCTGAAACGGTGCTGGGCCAAGGCCAAGGGCGGGCCGCCCGCCGCGGGCAAGGAGAAGACGCCCAGCCCCGCGGGCGGCGCTGCGCAGGGCGCCGCCGACGCTGGCGTGGGGGGGGGGCGCGACAAGGGGAGGCTGGAGGGCGCTGGGCTGCACATCGGACGGGGCTAGGACGAGGACAAATCCGTTCCAGAGCGTTCCGGAAGGCTCTCAGAGCGTTCCGGGATGCTCTGAGGAGGCCGCGGCGCCCGAGACACCTTCCGGAGCCGCGGGATCTCAGATGCTCTTGATTTGTCCGCGCCCAATTTCTTTATCATCGTCCTGGCTGCGTCTTGCCGTGCCTTTCCCTGCTCGCTGTGAGTTCCTCCCTTTCTCGGCTGGGCCCCCCGCGGCTGTGTCCGCCGCGCCGTGAGTCCTCCTCCTCCTCCTCCTCCTCTCCTCTCCTCCTCCTCCTCCTCCTTCCTCCTCCTCCTCCTCCCCCTTCCTCCCCCTTCCTCCCTTTCCTCGCCGTGAGTCCGCTCTGCTGGGCCCGCCGCGGCGGCGCGGCGCGCGCCTCCCAGGGTCACCCTCCAGGGGCGCGGAGCGAGCCGCGCCTCGCGCGTCCCGGCCTGGGCCGCTGGGCTCTTTTCCTTCGGGGGGCGGCGCTGGAGGGTTTTTCCGCAGGGCTTAGGCGACTCGTCCTCCTCCACCTCCTCCTCCTCCACCCTCCTTCCTATCCTCCTCCTTCCTCCTCCTCCATCTCCTCCCCTCATCTACTCCTCCTCCTCCTCCTCCTCCTCCTCCTCCTCCTCCTCCTCCTCCCCCTTTCTCCCCCTTCCTCCCTTTCCTCGCCGTGAATCCGCTCTGCTGGGCCCGGCGCGGCGCGCTCCTCCCAGGGTCACCCTCCAGGGGCGCGGAGCGAGCCGCGCCTCGCGCGTCGCGGCCTGGGCCGCTGGGCTCTTTTCCTTCGGGGGGCGGCGCTGGAGGGTTTTTCCGCAGGGCTTAGGCGACTCGTCTCCTTCCACCTCCTCCTCCTCCCACCTCCTACTCCTCCTCCACATCCTCCTCCTCCTCCTCTCCTCCTCCTCTCCTCCTCCCCCCCTCCTCCTCTCTCCTCCTCCGCCGCCTCCTCCTCCTCCTCCTCCTCCTCCTCCCCTTCTTCCCTCACCTCCTCCTTCTTCCTCCCCGCCTCCTCCTCCTCCTCCTCCTCCTCCTCCTCCTCCTCCTCCTCCTCCTCCTCCTCGGGTCGCGGCTCCGGGGGAAACCGTGCAGCTCTGGGTGGCCTGGGTATCATCGCGCTTCGCGCTTCGTGGCGTGGGCCAGAGAGCCGCGCTCCACCAGCGGGCGGCCCCAGGGCGCGAGCACGCCGCGCGCCCCACGCGCGGCGCGACGTTCGGCGGCTGGTGCCTCCGCCGCGCCTTCCCCGAGAGAGAGAGAGAGAGAGAATGAGAGAGAGAGAGAGAGAAAGAGAGAGAGAGAGAGAATGAGAGAGAGAGAGAGAGAGAAATAGAGAGAGAGAGAGAGAGAGAGAGAGAGAAAGAGAGAAAGAGAGAGAGAGAGAGAGAGCGAGCGGGGCGCCGAGGTGGTGCGCGTCGGCAAGGACAGGCTGGTGGGAGAGATCATCCGGCTCGAGGCGAGCGCGCGCCCAGGGGGGCCAGATGCAGCCAGGGAGCCGGTCAGTGACAGGTCCCCAGAGCTCCAAGGATGGACCAGGATCGCCACGCCGGGTCTGCCGCAGCTTGTGTGTTTCGTCGGGTGGCGGCAGTTCTGGTTGGTGGAGTGGGGCGGAGGGGCGTCCCCACGCAGCCGGGTCCCACTAGACCCAGTCCGTCCAGGGTCCGAGGGAGGTCCCCCTGCACACGATGGACCTCCCTGACGTTTCTTGCGCTCTGCCGCCCATCCTGCCGGCGCCTGCCTCTGCCTCTTCAGTGCGGGGGACGGCCACGTAGGCACCGACACTGATTCTGGACAGGCAGACCACGTGCCCCGGGTCGGTGCAGCTGGACCGTCCAAGGGGGGGGGGTGATCACTATGGGGATGGATCTCGATTTTTCCCTATGATTTGACACATCCCATGCTCTTGCAAACATCCCACCCACCCACCCGCAACTTGGTTTGCAAAACTTCTTAAAACCGACTACGACGACACCGACGACGTCTCCGACGACTTCGACGACGACGACGACAACGACGACGACGACAACGACGACGACACCGACGACGACGACGCCGACGCCGACGACGACGATGACGACGACGACGCCGACGACGACGACGACGACGTTGACGCCGCCGACGACGACGACGACGACGGCGGCGACGACGACGACGATGCCGACGTCGACGACGACGAAAACGACGACGACACCGACGCCGACGACGACGACGACGACGACGTCGCCAACGAAAACGACGACGACGAGCAGGGATGAGGGAGGACGACGACGGCGACAACGACGACAATGACGAAGGAGGAGGGAGGACGGCGACGACGCGAACGACGAAGATGGAGGAAGGACGGCGACGCCGACGACGACAACGACGAGGGAGGAGGGAAGACGACGACGACGACGACGACGACGGCGACGAAATAGGATGGACGACGATGACGTCGACGACGGACGACGACGACGACGAGGGAGGAGGAGGAAGGACGACCACGGCGACAACGACGACGGAAACGACCACGACGTCAAAGAGGACGACGACGACGAACACGAGGAAAGACAGAGGACGACGACGGCGACGACGACGACGAGGGAGGAGGGAGGACGGCGACGACGAAGACGACGACGACGCAAAAGCGCGCGCACGCTGTTGTTGACAACCCGTGTTGCGAAACCTTCTGTTTTTGTATACTTTTTGGACACACGATTTTGAAATCCTTCCGAAACCGAGAGTTTTTGAAAGATTTCGGCATGCGCGCGCGTCGACGCGCGCGTCTGCACTTCGTCCTGTTTTTTGCAGAGGATTCTCGCGACGGCACGCGCGCAAGGGCGTTCGAAAGATTTCGACATGCGCGCGCGAAGCCCCTTTGGTAGTATTTTTTGAAAATCCATTGGTTTTCTGCGGAATCTTTTTTTAGCAAATCAGTGTTGCGAAACCCTGTGTTTTTGCATGTTTGTTTTGAAACTTGATTGTGAAATCCTTCCGAAACCGAAGGTTTTTGAGTGATTTCGGCATGGGCGCGCGACGATGCGCGCGTGTGTACTTCGTTTCATTTTTTTTGCAAGGGATGAGAAGTTACGATTTTTGATCAACGAGTGTGCGCGCATAGTTTTTTTGCAGAGGATGGCGGGGGGGAGTGATACCGGCCTGGCTGGGATAGTTTGAATTCGCATCTAGGATGGACGATGGGGCAGAATCATGTGTAAATTGCAATACGAAAAGGTGACCCGTTAACTCCGGGGCGGGGGGGTTTTAGAAAGGAGAGTCATGGCCAGGGCCATCTTATCTGCCCAGATTTCATGGCTCTCCTTCTCGTTTTGAGAAAGGTCCCTTGGCGCTCCCTGGGCTGCGCGCATGCCTCCGGCTATGATTGACGAAGCCACCTTTTGGACGCTCCCCTTTTGGACGCCCCCGAGTGTATGTCTCCCAGGCCGTGCCACGGGGTGTATGAGAATGCCACCCATGGGAGGTTAAATTCACCATCGGCACTGGTATATCCGTGGTCCAAGACTTGCCTAATCCAGCATAGTCCCGCTTAATCTGGCTTGATCCTGCCAAGTACGCCATGATCCCTGGCTAAATCTGGCTCAATCGGGCTTAATGGCCCTTTAATCGTGCTCACTAGCCCTTACTCGTTGTTGCGAAAACCTCCCAGGAGTTGGCTCCTCACGTGTGCACGTACAGATCCTGGCCCCCGGGATCTGATCGGGGTTGGCGTGTTGTTTGTGCCCGCCTAGCGCATGCGCTGCTCTTACCCCGAGATTTCCCGTGGTCAAGCAGATCGTAGAAGCGTCGCGAGCAGATCACGCCCAGAGCCCTCGACCCAACCTTCTCTGCGGCGTCCCTCGGGCCGCCGGTGGGGGCCGCCGAGTCCTGCGCAAGGTCGCGCGTGCGCGCCCCCTTTTCTCCGTGCTGTGTGCCACGCTGGCGGCTCGCTGACGCCGCGGCGTATGATCGTCATGTCCTCCTGCGTCAGGCTCGCTTCTTTTCGCCGCCCCCTTTTGGGCGGCGCTCGCGGGGCGGGCAGGTCCTCTGTCGGAGGGCGGGCCCTCTCAGAGGGCGGCGGGCCTCTGAGACGAGGGGGAGGAGCCTGCATCATTGTCCTCCTGGCTCCTCCTCGTCCTCGTCTCCTCCTCCTCCTCCTCCTCCTCCTCCTCGTCCTCCTCCTCGTCCTCATCTCATCTTCTCCTCCTCCTCAGATGGAGGCTTCCCCTGGGCTATCCGCCCTTTCTGCTGCCGCCGACCCGCGGCCGCCGGGGCAGGGTTTGGTGGGACATGCGCCGCGCTGGCGTTGGCGGCGCTCTCCCACGAGCTCCCCCGCTTCACTCGCCGTGCACCGGAACCGAGAGGGGGGGGGGAAGACGATTGGGGGAAAGCGAGGTGGGGAGGGGGAGGAGGAGGACGAGGAGGATGAGGAGGGGGAGGAGGGGGAGGAGAAGGGGGAGGAGGGGGAGGAAGAGGAGGAGGAGTATTGGGAATGGGAGTGGGGAGAGGGAGGGGGAGGGGGAGGATGGGGACGGGAAGGGAAAAGGGGGAGGCGTAGTGGGAGGGGGAGAGGGAAGAGGGGGAGGTGGAGGAGACAAGCTTGGTGCGCTCGCGTCATATCTGACGTCCTACCCCTCCCTCCCATCCCTTACCATGGCGTGGATCTCATCTCTATTCGCACAGTCCGATGTCGTAGCATGGCATAGCATTACATGGCATAGCATTGCGTTGAAGATCAACGCGTAGCATGACATAGCATGGCGTGGCGACACCCCAAAGTGGCTGGGGCTTCTGCGGCCCAAAAAATCAACGAATCGACACCGAATGTGTTTTCACTTCCGATGGTTTTTGTTCGGGGGGCCATTTTTTAGATTTTGGGGCCTATTTGGAAGGACCGCAAACCATGCCGTGGCATGGCACTGGAAATGATGGCGCCAGCGCTGCAGCGGGAGCACGATTCGGAACGAGCGGAAGCGCGGAAATGAGTCTAGCGCTGCAGCGGGAGCGCGAGTCGGAACGAGCGGAAGCGCAGGAATGAAGTCAGCCCAGCAGCGCTGCAGCGGGAGCACGATTCGGAACGAGCGGAAGCCCGACAATGAGGCTGGGGCTTCAGCGGGATCAGCATTCTGAGAAAAAAAGCCAAGCGAAAACCCAGTTCCTTGGAATCTTGTGCGTAAACAACAGTACGCGGAGGGGGGCTGTACATTGTGGCGACGCCATCAGTGGAGAGAGGAGAGTAGCATTCACATTGTAATTGCAGAGGAGGAGGAGGAGGAGGAGGCGGGGGAGGAAGGAGGAGGAGGAGGAGAGGAGGCGGACAGGAGGAGGAGGAGGAGGAGGAGGAGGAGGAGGCGGGGGAGCAGCAGGAGGAGGGGGAAAGCATGAGGAGAAGCAAAAGCAGGAGGAGGAGGAGGAGGAGGAGAGGAGGAGGAGGAGGAGGAGGAGGAGGAGGAGGAGGATGTGGAGGAGGTGGAGGAGGTGGAGGAGGTGGAGGAGGAGGAGGAGGAAGAAGAGGAGGATACGGAAGAGAGGTAGGAAGAACAGTGGGGTCGCATCGGGTCGGAGCTCCACCAAGAGGTCCTCCGCCGGAAGCCGCCGCAGGGGAGGGCTGTGCCCCAATGGGGAGGAGGAGTTGCAGGAGGTGTCGCCGCCTCCGCTGCCGGAGATCACCACTCTCCTTGGCTCTCCCGCGACCCCTGTCTCCGACCTCCTCACTTCGCGGCCCGCCTGGCGGGCGTCGAGCCCAGGCCCTCACCCTCCACCGCTCGCTCTCAGGAAGCACCTCACCCGTGGCTTCCTGACAAACCCGGCCTCCTCGCCCTGGGCCCCCGCTTCTCCCCTCGCGACGCCCACGTGGCTTCGCCGCCGACCTCGTCGGGAGGCGCCTTGGGCGCTCGCGCGGAGCGGCATCGGCGCTCGCCTCACCTCGCCCCGTCGCCGATCGGCCGCCGCCGCCCAGCTTGAGGCGAGCCCCTGGGCGTCGGCGCCCGACACGCCACCCGGCGCCCATGTCGATTCGGCCGATCCGAGTCGATCCGATTCGACCTCGGTCCGAGTCGATCTCGATCCGATTCGATCTCGATGCCGATTCGATTCGATTCGATCTGTTTGGATCTCCCTCCGAGTCGATCTCGATCCTGATTTTACTCGATTTCGATCCGATTTTTACGTGCCACAGGCACTGCCGCCGTGCATGTTTATCCCCGTGCTCTGTATCAGGACCGACCCTGGGCCGATCGGGCGTTG